CCAGAAACACTAGTCTCATAGGCTTGGTCAGAATCCGCAAGAGTTATATCATCCACCTAGTCCAAGCACCGAGTTCCGGATTGACGACGCATGTATTGTGCCTTGCGCCTTCAGTCGAGTCATATTCGAACAACTGCAATGTACTGATTTATCTCAGAGCGAATTGACAGGCCTGGTTGGATTAGATGTATAACTTGTTGGTCTATTTGTCGGTCGGACGCTGGCCAGGTACTAGGTGACTTAGACTTTACAGGTCTTCCCATATTGCTGCATGGCAACTACGCAAACGATGTTTTCTCTTGCGCGCCATAATTTCACAGTCGATTCAATAAAACGCAATTCCACCAGTTTGAATACCCAGTCCAGTAACACCGCACGTAAGCGATAGATTAGTGAAGCCGTGTGAACAGAAGGCCGTCACCGGCAAGTACAGAAAGGCTCACTTGAGGGTGGACTGTCGGTAAAAGTCCAATGGTGTTTAGCTGGTCACCTGATTTGGTTGCTTCCACTCTAGGATATTTTCCAGAATTAAGGTGTGATCCTTTATGCACTGCCATCGCTGTGCTACCGTTCAACGTGCAGTTTCTGCATGACGAAACCTGTACCCACTGACGCAAGAGATGGCAGGATAGCTTCGGACAAACCTTTGAACCCTAGAAGCTGCAGGATGACTACCACTCGTTTGAATATCCGTCAGCGACCATTTGCCTTACCGGGTCTACTTTTTTCATCGCAGTCCACTGAGTTATAACTGACCGTGAATACTTGCTGATCATTATCATTGACGGCATACCTATTTGGTGACCAGCCCACCACACGCGCCTTGTGTGTCGTTCCTTGTATTCCTTAGAGATGACACACACACCCGACCTTTTTTCTCCCCGCTATTGTGTGTACGCCCACCAGCGTTATCACCGGCTTGAATGCACACTGGTTGTCCGCTTACCACCACCACCTTCCACAAAACGGATACCATCAAACCGGAAGACTGCCTACCCCAACCACCTCTCCTAATTGCCTCAGCCAAATGACTTTACTCCCCAGGGTGTGTATCTGCACTAACAGTCTGCATGTTATGCATAGGCGTAATCTAATTCGCTCGGCTAAGCACAAGTACCACACTAACATTCACTGGGCAAACTTGATGTGTAGGCCTGGTGTCCTGCTCACGCATGTCTCCTCTCAGTGTCTTTACCCCACACGTGTGCACCTGTAAACGGGAGCGGGGTGGACACTCGTTCTGTGTGCCAAAAAACGATGAATGCATCAACCAGTCAGCCAACAGGATTAGAGATGAGACCCACCAGAAACTTTCTTGGGGGCTAGATGTACAGGAAACAAAGACAGTGAGTGGACTCTTGTATTGTTCTCAGGACGCAGACCCATCACCGGACACCGTCATTTAAACGGGGTTTGGATGCATTCCACTTCACTGATCTTCCTCTGTTTCGCCTTCCTATCTCACTCGCCTCAGTTGTTGTCAATGCGTACGGAGCTCGTCCTGTAGAGTAGATAATTTGAACGTTCTCACTAATTTTCGCTTATCGCGGGATCCCCGACTTTCGGTAAATATTACCAAGTTAGATCTGGGGAAGTTGTCGGATACATTGCTTCTTCCTGTGGTATGACTCCCTCGGATATATCACCTTTCGCTTCAACAAACTTGCTACGACTAACAATGGCTTCATCTCACACATGTATCGATCGAAACATTCGGATCGATTAGTGAGGGCACGAACATTGTTAGATACCGCTGTTTCTCTCTTTCACCGAGCAGTAGGGACGAATACTAGAATACAATTGCTCAGTTGTGACACGTGCTGTCATTTTACTTCACCAAACAGAAACCATCTTTTGTTACCCTTTGTTTTTGGCTCTAGTCTTCATCGAAACAGACCGGTTCTCTGATCGCTCGCGATAATTGCCAATTTGTTCCTCTTCTTGCATGTCTGTCAGGTACCAGAACTCATTCCAGTGGGTTGAGCGCGTACTAACCCGCTCCAACACCACGTGTCTCCATCCTTGGTTGGCTATTACCCGTTAAACCTTACGCGCAGTGGACCGAGTTTATGACGTTCACCGCGCCTCTAGAAGCAGTGCCGACACGCCGCGAACAGTCTGACAAAAGCTTGCTTTTATTGGCCGATTTCGTCAAACTTCTGTCTCCAGGCTGTTTTGTGTGTAGGCTTTCTCGCTTACGTGTAGCGTCGCTTAGCCGTAGTAACCACGGGGTTATGCACTCGTTTGGTCCTGTCATTCCCTCTAGCATGTTCTATTCTTTCGTTTACCTTAGATGACGACACTATTAGTTTGGGGATATCATCGAACACTAGAAAAAGTTGGATTTTCGTGGTGGTATGACCAAGGGTCCCTTTAATGCTCTCTGTGTTCTGGGCTCACTTTGCTGTTCGTAAGTACGCTTCACCGTAATTTCTCGCTGCGACCTCTACCAACTCGCTCATGCGCATTTTACCAGCGGTGGATGCTGATGACCGGCACCTTTAAGTCAGTTTGATGGCGAGTGGGCCATCGCCGATCGATGACGATACTGGAGATTTGATCGGTCACATTTTACTTGTTGGGATATGCTGCTTGAATACACCCCTCGTTCTGTCACGCTTGCAATGGTTGGCCTTATCGAATTGACCATATACTACACATAGAGGCATTTGGGTTGATGCTACGTGCATCGTCGGAGATCTGGTCGGCGCTGCGCCACTTTAAAAGTGCACCATTCGGTCCACCCAGTCACTGTATCGCTATTGTGGAGCAACGGTAGTAGATTGATGAGCTCTCTGAGAATATTGCTGACTTATTCATCCTCTCCCAGATGAATGCAGGGTCATAAACGCTCGGGTATGACAATTTTAATGTACTACTCGATAAACTCCAACTTTGATGATTCTCGGTCCTTAGTAAGACCAATAAGGACGGAGTAACCCTCATATCTGATAGGTGTCAGGCTACATACATGTATCCACCTAATACGATTTCCTGTGAAGTCATCTATCCGTGCATACCACATTTACTGGGCAATTGAACACGTATCACCCATTTATCCTTGATAACCACCGATATTGCTGGGAACTGGAGCAACTTCTTACTTTTCAGGATATTTTGAACTTCGCCAATCTGTCCCCAATACGTCTCTTAGTGGTAAGTGTTTGAGACCGGTCGTGCTCTGAGGCGGGTTGCCACTGACGGGTCAAGTGAGCTCATCATGTCGCTTCTCTCTCCACTGGAAGTCAGACCAACGTTCCGTATGCATGTATACGAAGAGTTGCAGGTTACGCAGTCACACAAAACATTTGTGAAGAGAAACATGCTATGGCCCACCTGCTTAGTAGACTCATCGCTGTTTCTGATAGTATGCCAAATTAACAGTCTGATTAACCGACTTTTCAACTTGCGATCGGTCGATTTGACTATTCGCAGTGATGCGCAGAATCTGTGGGTCTCCCACAGATTATCCTATGCCTAAGATATGGGTGCACAGTTTGGTCCTGAAGTGACACAACTCGCTTCCATCACCACACCCTAGTTTGTGTGTTTCTCACTTCTTGCTATTTTATCAACACAGACACTCATTAGGCTATAGCAAGTGCGGCGATTGAACACATTCTCCTCGTGTGTATGGATAACTTAGCTACCCACTAACCGACACTTAGTTCACACGTTTTGATATAAACTTATCACCGATGGATGAATGAGTTTGCGGATACAACTACATCTACTGCGCAACCGTTCCACCCTGTTGTGCTGTCAGCCACAGTTCACACACATATGCACGGATCTTGCATCGGAATGGAGGACTTGACGCACTGGTTTCATCCCCTAACTCTCTCCTACGACTGTCGTTTTGGCGGTATAGATGACCTCAACTTTGTATCGATCCCCGCCACATGTGATCACCGTGGAATGCGGATCAGGTGATGGTTTACTATTTCACCCAGCAGTCTCCCAGTGTATGCATCGGTCACATGCCGCCTGTGCGCGAGTGAATTACCTGGCTCTCACGAATCCACGGACCATCCTCGGGCGCCTTGTCTCGGCCCAAGCACACTTTGTACTCTCAAGCTTACAGGAACGTTTTCGCCACACATCGAGCCATCGGCGATGTTTTTTTTCATCTATCTACCGAATTTCCGACGCCTCCTGATTGGCAGCCACTCAGCCTACACTATGTGCTCTCCGTGATTCTGATCATTGCAGTTGCCTTACCCTAATTGCGCCCATCCCCTCACAGCGTCTCCTGGGGTCCAGAAAGCAGCACTAAACCTAACAGCAATGGTGTACGACCTAGTTGCACCTATTGACCAAACCGTTTGATTGTCTCGGATACGTTCGCTCCCTCTTGCTTAATTAGCATACTTCCATCAGGTGTTTCTGCGACAGTGTACCTTCACTCACTCACAATGATTGACCCGCAGAGGCGAAGCTACTGTACGGATGACCGTTGATGGAAATAGCTCTCATTTGTACCCATGAGCGCTTTCCATTCCCCACCTTTAAGGCATGTAGACATGACGCGACTGATTCCAACAGCTGTTGGACGCAAATTCCACATTTTTGGACGCAATCATCACCTATGTTGCACAGTGTGGACACATGGTTGGAAAAAGAGTTCAGTAGTCGCAGATACCGGGTCAAGAGCGTAGTGCCATCTTTTTTCGTATTGTATCTAAAGATCCCAACTACACTATAACCCAATCGACCCGGTGTCCGCTTGACCACATGTGTGTGCCGTGTGTATTCATTTCACGCCGTAGCACTAGAGCACTGACGTGGACAGTGTTATTCTTCGGTTGCATAAGTTTCATCCACACTTATGCTTGATCGGGTGCCCCTACGCGGTTGACACATCGGACCACTGTTGTTAAAACAATTTGTGATTCGTGCCTCTACCAGCACTCTTCCGGGTCGCACCAAGTGATAAATACTTGTATCATTCGTGGTACCCTAACTCCTATGATGCCCCCTGTATTTTGTCTAATTCACAGGAGCGGGATCTCAAACAATACCTACACGATTGTCATGGAATCGTCCACCCAGACAACGTGCAGCTCTTCCTTTATCAACTCCTACGGGGACTTGAATACTGTCATCGGCGTCGTATCCTACATCGTGATTTGAAACCACAAAATCTGCTCATCACGGACCGTGGCGAACTGAAATTGGCCGATTTTGGGCTGGCACGGGCGAAATCGATCCCAATCAAGACTTACTCCAACGAGGTGGTGACGTTGTGGTAAGTTTGATCGCTTGACGTGGTATTCACAAAGCGTTTGCAAGCGCCAGGTCGACCGATTAGGATTCACTCTATTTTGTTATGGCAATTTTTGCCACAATCGCAAACAGCAACAGTACCTCAGCACTTTGTACCGATACTTTGCTGCTTTACGACTATAAACGGCATATTCATGGGGAATAACGGTAAGAGAAGAGTGAAATCTAAGTGAACATTCAGGGCCGCAGTCATCTTCACTTTTCCGACACTTCACAGTCACGAACACACGATTATGATACGTGCACGGGGCAATATCTACGAAACACCTTATCGCGATTTTCGCTGCCGCACACCGTAATCAGCCTTGCTCCACATGTAACTCAATATCACATACACTTTAGGCATGTGCCGGGACTAGGGGATAACTGCAGATGCGACACTGATGCGCAGAGTTCATCATGTGGCCCCCAGTCTGGAAGGTAAGATGGGTCAACACCATCCAGCCTAACGGTCATCGACTTCATTTCCCACTATTGATTCAGCGATTGCCCTTAGCATTACGCCATCGTAAACCATGGAAAAACCAAGGTCTTTTCGGCGAGCTGTGGGTGGACATACGCGTAGCGTGTGCCCAAACGGACACAATTTTATTAAGTTTTACCTGTTGATTCAATCACATAACCTGCAGATTACCATCTACTGTTTGCCTATGCGCCTCATCAATGCGGGCACGCAGGTGCCACCAGACACCATCAATGCTACGTAGGCAGCGATGGCCGAAAGCCCGGAAACTGCTCCGGTCCTCAGGTTCAAGAAGCGGCATTGCACTCTTGTAAAGAAGAATGACCCCCACTGTGGTCCCCTACACACAGAGTTTAGAACCAACTAAAATCCTCTTCTGACATTAACGGTGTCGTGGATACATGAGAGAGCAGTTCTGACGTTTGCAATGCTACTAGTGCGACCGCCAAGATAAGTGAATTTTTTTACTTATCTCCGACTCTTCCTAACCGAGGCTCAAAGGGCTAACAGGAGACTGGTGGTCATTCAACGGCACATCGCAATTTGAAGATGTTATATGATGGAGGGGCACCCAAGACTTAATCGAGGGTTGACCGAGTCGACTGGCGATCGTTCAACAACAAGACTGTGTTCCCTGCGTAGTCCAGATGGTCTAATTTTCTCCCTAGCAAAACTTCAATGCCTGCATCGTGAGACTCCATAGGAAAGCGATAGGTAGTAGAGTCTGCAGCATAGGTGTATGGAATTGAGAAAATCTGGTAACTGACGAACAACACTTGTTGCTGCGAGTGCATGCAATGATTCGCCATGGACACTGCTGCAGATTGATGTGTTCGAGTACATGGTACGCAATATATGGTTTTTGGAGGTGTACTACGGATCTTATCTGCATTGTGGCGTTTTTTTCAATGAGCATGCATTCTCTCAACTAAGCATAATCACAATCTCATGACTTAACGTTCTGTACCGGATGACATTCGGCCAAATGTTCTCTACCTGACAGCCTTTGTCGAAGTGCTGCTTTGTGATAATTACTTAAGTTTGTATAAAGCTACGGATGGTCCTTCTTATAGTATGCAACCTGTGTCCCATCCTCTCGATGGCAGAAATAACAGTCTGACTTATCCCTTAGTTTCATACCATTGTGAGCGGTTGTGTTTCTGATGACGCGCGGATAACCGACACAGCTACTGGGATCACGGACTAGCTATTTCCCAAATCGGAAGACAAAGGCCTCACCAAAACTTTCAATCGAGCCGGGAAAGCACATCGTTGTTCACAGCGAAAATGGGTCTGCTTCTATAGTTGGAGGACGATTCCGACCCACCAGGAAATACTAGATGCAGAAATACGCTCTCCTTGTCTGGCTCCAAACCGAAATTGCCGTCATCAACCGATTCCATCGGAAAGGCTCTCTCACTGCTTGGCTCCGGACCAATAAGCCTTGAAGTAGGTTGGTCCGGACTTCCGTTGAGGGTACTGGCATGGAACCAGGCTTGAAACGGTTTCTATGAACAGGCTCCCTTACTAACAACTCACTGCAAAGCGATTTTACCATTTCGTATCGATCGCCATCGCTCTCAAATGCGACTTTTGTTTTCTGCTCTCTACTCCTTGCTGACTGCCCTGCTCTAAACTAAAGAATGGAATCCCTGACAATGGTGTTTGTGGAACCATTTGAGTTCTGTGTGGGCAGTTCTTATCGTGGCCTTCTTCCTGTGTCTATGTTTCGGGCGGACATTGGCTTCCGGTGTCCTAAAGTTTTTACCAGCGAGAACCAGTAGAATCAACCCCGTTTCATGCCCCATTGCTCAGCTTTGTGGTTGTCAATCCTCACGGCTCTGGTATATACGAGGGGCAGTCGGAAGTCGAGTGGCTCAGGTGGTGCACCTGACTTGCGGGCTGCAGGTCACCGGTCCGATTCCGCGTAGGTGCCTGCAGTCTCGCATTATCTCCAGTCTGGGCTTGACTGATAGTGGCGGCGAAGCGTTGGTGCCGGTTACTACTGCGCCACAGACACCTTCTCACCTTAGCATGCATGAATACGTGAGAGATTTCAACACAATTGCAATACTGCGCTTCAATTTTCTTATGTTTGAGATCCCAGCGATGAACCTCGGTCTCAGACGCGAGGTTTAAATTGCAGCATTGCGCTAAGCTAAACCCAAGTCGTCCTGGCGCTTGCTGCTACAGCCTCCCAACCAACTGAGTCGCGTATCGCGATTGATCGGCCTTTTTTTCGGGAATGTGTTTCACGTTCCGCTGTTTAATTAAACACTTTCTGCCATCATTTCTCTACTTATTCACGTGAAACATTTTGATTTTCTTACACCGTCACTGTTGCCACTCTACCTTTGGTGTTTGGTAAGTTCTCTACAGAGGCTTTCTCTGTCTCGCCCCGACTTGTCATCATGGATTCCTTTCATTTAGGTACAGACCGCCCGACATACTGCTTGGTTCTACTGAATACTCCACGCACATCGATATGTGGGGCGTCGGTTGTATTTTCTATGAAATGGCCACCGGATGGCCCTTGTTTCCTGGTTCCACGGTCGAGGAAGAGTTGACGTTGATCTTCAAGCGGCTAGGTAAGTCACCACCTGCTTTCTCCATTATTGCCCGGCTCGATTTTGTTCACATCTCTTGGGAATCTATGCATGATTGCTTTCCCACTCACCAAAACTTTTGTGCAGTTGACTGGGATAATTGCGCATAGGTGGGTACTAGTTTCGCGTGTGATTTTTTACGCCTCCAGGCATTTGTGTGACAATTAGTTGCAATCGCTTTTTTCTTTGGCTGAACTCCTCGTGCAACGATAGTCCGGCTAAGACTTCGATCTTGGGCTTCGTGATTTCCGGCTAACGTCGATCATTAGTGTTAGGAGGAGAACCTAAGGAATCGATCAGCGAACCTTATATCGACAGATTCAATTTTTTTCTGGAAACCCAGTGTAACAATCTCATTGGTTGATGGGAAGCATGTTCTCGGACAATATAATACTATTAATGATGAGGTATGGGAGAGAACAGAGGCTGTTCTAAGTCATCGAGGACAAATAACTGACGCTGACCCGCGCTATGTGATTACCTCATAATTTGCATCTATTTACCCGGGAACCGAAGTCCCGCATACTTTTTCAGCCAATCGGAGCGGTCGGGTTTAAAACAACCGACCAAAGTGATCCTGAGGGATCGTAACACTTTGGAAATCAGTCTTTGCGACTTGTGCCTCTGAAACTGTCGAAGTTATCCTTGAGTTGAACTATCCACTGTCGGTTTAGTTGGTGACATGCAACCGTAATGTATTTTTAAGTAGTCCAGGATCAACCAGATTAATTGGACTGCATCCGAAGTGGAGCTATTCGTAGTATTACTCGTTCCACGACCGGTTTCATGATTCCTGTCCGCTGAAACCATGGAGCTCTCATTAGTAAACGTTTAGGAGTGTTTCGTGAAGGCGGGAGTTTATGGCTTTTCAAGAAGATTGTTTTATGTACCAAACTCTTCTGAACACAAACGCTGTGCTGGCTACTTTTTAGCCATTCCACATGGCTGGATACACTCTTGTGGACATGGCTAGGAGCGGACCTCAGTGGTGCTTGTGTGTTGTGAGGTTCTTTGCCCCTCCCACTTAGCCTCCCGCTCCCCCCCCCTCAACCACGATTTCATTTACTAGCATATTATAAGTTCTGCATAATATAGTTTTTTGCGGCACAATACCGGCTGGTAGCATTCCGGAACGACGTCCATCAGTTCCCGATGGCTCAGCTGGCGTTCTTCGGTTGCAGCTTCTTTTTCCTTATCTTACGTATTGTAGCACAATAGCTGAGGTGTTTTCCACCTCTAGCTAACGTGTATAATGATGATCATGACCCATTCCACAACATTGCAGGTTTTGTCCCCGTTGGGACTTGTCTACAAACCTATCCGGGGTTTGGTACCGATGACATCACGTGGCTGACTGCTAGCCGAGCACCTTGGCGGCCTACAGCTCTCCAGTAGCACTTATCATCGCAATTACAGATTGTCGTGTGATGGTTTGTCTAGTTCGCAACTAAAGCTTGAAATGCGTTGACCTCTAGAGATTTCGGTTTCCTCAACTATCGTGTGAGACTAGTTTGACATTCATCATCCAGAGGCAACGTGCTGTCATTAGACGCGAGCTGTGTTCACTGCAAACATCGGCTATGGTTTTGCAAGGTAGAATTGGAGAAGAAATCTGGTTTTTCATGTTGCACAACCGTATCCTTACTTCTGCATCGGCGCTTCTGTGAATTTCTGTCCTAGCTATACCCACCGCCATGATGCTTCTATTGGCCACTTGCCGGTGAACGTCGTGCGCATGGTGGGTTGCCCCATTCTTAGTGTAGTACCACGCCAAACGAGCGGTTATGGGCTTCTTCGCCATCTTCTCGATCTCATCTACACCCCCATTTTCTGCCTGAGGTTCCTTGCATATCGATGGTCGAGTCATGATCGTTGATTGATGAAACGTCTCGGCTTGTGCCCTCTTGATGTTCGTGCCACGCTGCAGATTTGAGACACAACAACTCGGCAAGCAGCGGTTCCCGTGATGCGTGATAGGACCATCTGGCACCAATCACGTGTCAACCGACTCGTCTACCTAATGATAATCCAAATAGCCTGTTGTTGTGCCAACTCGGTAACCGCAGTAATGCATCGTGGTAGACATTCGGTCCGGAAACATGAGTGCTAGTCGGTCCGCTACCTCCCCACTCAGCACGCCCTGATGATACAGGTGGACGCAAAAACACATCATTACGGAGTATTATCGGTCACTCGCATAAATAGGAAGAAACTAAGGAGATAAATAAAGTACCATGTTTGAATATACTGTTACGTAGTAGAATACCTAGTCAACGTCACCGGTCCTAGCCTGTACAGCGTTCCTTTTCAGCAAACTCGTACACCCAGTCAGCGCGAGTGACCGATTTGGGTGCCCCTGGTTATCACAATGAGACAGACTTCAGGCAAAAATCGGTCGTTTGAAAAAGGACCAGTGTAGCATTAACACATGGAGTGAACACTCGCTCTGTGTAAATCGATCCCCAAAGCGTCACACCGCAGTACTGCGTGTGTAAAGCTAGTCTCGGAATTTTTCGAGCGACTGATCTGTGTCCGAAATTTGTCTCACTGGGACGGTTATGGCACCCAAGTCGATCATTCGCGCTGAGTGGGTTATGCGTACGTACGGTTTTATTTATAAGAAACCCTGTGACGCTCTGTGACGCTAACGGTGCATCCTATCATGTGATGCCATGTTTACACTGTGTTATGTATGCGAGTGACTTATCTCAGCCCGTTGTCAGACAAGCCTACTAGGATGCACTACGTACCGAACATTCGCCGTCTTGTTCTGATGACACTGAGCTTCAGTGAAACGGGATCTCGGCCGCCATGCACGACGCAGAAGCATCTGCTTGTGCGTATTATCAATAGTCACCGAATAAGTCACTAGATATCCGAGAGGTAAGTGAATCTGTTATAATCCTGAAAATACCTCCCGGCTGGCTCTGAGCACAATGTGGCCAGATGGACTATTAGGCGCGAACTAAAGTGAAGCCTACGTGCTAAAAAGGGAGCCTGGTGAACCAGTCAGGCTCAAGAAATGGAGGAGGCGGGAACAATAGCTAATTATCATAACCTCTTCCAGCTGATCCGCACCACTGGTCCCAGAAAACCATGCATCAGTAAGACAATCAGAGACAGCGCGGGTGCACTGATTCACAATTAGGAGCTTCATATGGCTTGTTGGGCGGAACACTTTCAAGATCAGTTCAGTTGCCCCCTGTTTTCGGACCTTTTCCTACTCAGGTGATGCTGGATGAGCCATGGACGGTTAATTCAGAGGCTCCATCGAAATCCGAAGTCTGAAACGCGATCACATCCCTCAGTCGTTTTCGTGCTCTTGGCTCGGATTCCTCTCCCACCTGCGCTATTTAAGGATAAAGGTGAGGTCCTCTGCAAAGCAATGACCTTGCTCGAATAGGTCTGGAATGAAGAGACCATCCTAACTAACCGGAGTGAGTCGATTATGTTGGCAATATACGAGAAGTGAAGTCACACCAACTGTGCGAACCACAGGGGTATTAGCCTAACGCCACTTGTCACAAAATTGCTGGCCTCAATTCTCGTTCGTCGCCTCACTGCGGAACGGGAATCTCGAATTAGAGAAGAGCAGGCAGGTTTCCGTCCTGGACGGGGCTGTATAGACCATATATTCACTCTGCGGCAGGTACTGGAACAGCGCCACGCATACTGAAGACCGACAATAGCTGCGTTCCTAGACTTCATAAGTGCGTTCGACTCAGTCTATCGATCCGTTCTGTTCGAACTACGTGTGCGGAAAGGCGTTCTCATAAAATATGAGCACATTTGGGTGCTCTAGACTCGAACACGACAGGCCGCGTCGGAGTCCACGGTGATTTGTCGGATGTCTATCCTCCAAAAAGTGGCGTTCGTTAGGGTTGTCCAATTTCCCCAGTTACGTTCAATTTCCTCGTGGACTGCATCATGGAGGGTTCCCTTACAGATACACATGATGCAGATGTTGAAATGCTGCCTTGTGAAAGGCTAGTTGATCTTGATTATGCGGACGATGTCGTCTTGCTGTTTAACGATGTGGCCTCTGGTGTGGTCCCATTGTTTTGTACGCGCTTCGCACCTTCAAAGTGCAGTGTTGCTGCAAGACCACCAACCACTTGGTGACTCATCGACCCTTGATGGTGAGGAACTCGAGGTGGTCGCTTAATTCGCTTACCTTGGCAGCTGCATCTGCAACAACTGGCGCATAGAAACTGAAGTCAGTTCACGCATTGCAAAAGCCAGAACTGCCTTCTTGAACCTGCGGCATCTTTGGCGACCGAAAGAAGTTTCTTTCCATCTGAAAGACCCTGTATACAAGGCCACAGTGAGGGCCGTTTTGCTCTATGGTAGTGAGACTTTGCCCCTTTGGTCTGAGGTTCTGGGGCGCCTTCAAGTCTTTGACCGTCGTTGTCTGCGAAGCATTGCTTGTGTCGGATGGCACCAGTGTATCCGCGACGATGACGTACATAGGCGAGTACTAAATAGTGATAATCATGCTAGCTTCTTATAACAGCAGATAGCACTTAGTAAGTTGCGTTGGTTTGGGCACGTAGTACATACGTCAGCTCACCACATACCGAGTAGGGCCTTGTTTTGTCTGCCAGATGTAGGGTATCGCAAGGCTCGAGATGGACAAAAGTTAACTTTGAGGAGGTAAATGAAGTCAGTGATGACCAAACTCGGTGCTGTCGGTCCGTCTCGCCTTCCAGGCTGGAGTGTAAGCGAGTCGCCTTGTGCTTGGCTCGAAACGTTACAGGACATGGCTCGCAATCGGCGCATCTGCTGCTGTCTCCTAGTCGGCTGTCTGTTTAACGTGTGTTTGGTGCTTACTTATCTGCGGGGTAATGGCTGATTATGACGCGGGGCAGTGAAAGCCGCAAAGAAGCTGTTTCGCCGATGCCGCTTACCTTTGCATGATAGCCAGCTGTCTGTGATGGTATGTTGTCGACAAGGTGTAGGCGCCTTGATCCTGGATGTTTGTTCAGGGTAATAAGGTTTTCCGGTAAGTCCCCCTTTTCCCCCTCTTTTAATTCTTCGTTCCGTAGGTCGTTATGGTTGTGTGGCAGCGACGCATCGGTTCAAATGGTTGATGTACTGCTGTTAATGAGTGATCTATGAACACCCACACCTATGCTGGTGGGGACAAAATCCTGATCGCTAGCCGCAGTTCACTTCAATTCAGTTACTCAACTAGGATCTGAACCCCGAGTTGCGACAAACCATGTCGCCAAACTAGTCGAAATTGCCAACGATGTGATTCAATAGGAAAGTTATCGATTAGTCAAAATAATGGAGAAAACGCTACAGTTCTCGAGTACAAGATTTAGAAACTACGGGTGACTGGGCCACTGTGACCGCTGCATGGATCTCGCGAGTGAGCCATGTCCGGCTTCCATAGGTAGTGTGCGCACTAGCCCGACTAATTTTCATGGCTCTTTTCTCATCTCTCTTCGCTATCGCACTGACTCGCTAGTCCGGGGCATCGCCCAAACCGTGCAGACCGGAGTAGACAGTCAGTGGTCATGTGGATTATATGACCTAACCAAAGTAGACTGTTAGATTACAAAAAAATGGTCTAACGTTGTACCGGTTACTCTGCTCTCTCACCGAACGAGCAATATTGCACAGGCACCGGTCGTCAAAGACGATCGATCTATCCATGCATTCCAAAGCAGTAGCCGTGCCTGCGATTCACACTGCAACGCCAGACTCACCACCGCCTCTTGGTTTACTGCTATGCAGTACAGTCTGCCTTGGAAGACGGGACGCGCAGTGTTCGATGCTTCGAAGGGTAGTTCGAACTTCCCTGTTGCCAATCAAAGAGCAGGCGGTAGCAGTGTGGTGTTGATGGTAATACTGAATATCGCTCTTCGGTTTAAGCCTCCGACTCTGTCGGTAGCCCTGAGTATACCAATAAATTTGATTGCGAATGCTTTTTCTGTAACCTTTGTTGTTTCAGCTTATGTGCTGCCATTAAAAAATGCCCCTCTGTGTTTACCACAGGGACACCCACGGAAGAGACCTGGCCCGGGATAACAGATCACCCCGATTATAGCAAGGCTTTAAAATACGGTCCTTATCCTGGGGAACCAAACGGACTGCTCCATTCGGCACCCCGCCTTTCACGCCGAGCGCATACTCTTTTATCCAGTCTACTGGTGTTTCAAGGATCCCGACGTATTTCCGCCGCGGACGCTCTGAAGCACAGCTATTTTAGCGATTCCATGCGCTTACCCGTGCAAGCGCTTTCCGAATTACCTCCTGCAGCTAGCATATTCGAAATTCCTTCAGTTCGACTTGTCCCCGATCCCGGACGAAGTGCAGGGTCTTCAATCTCCGGCCGACTGAGCGGAAGAAACTGCGCACAAATGAATGGGTTCAACGGTAACTCAAAGCTAAAGTATGCTCACGGCAAACTGAATACATCTACCACATACGAACCGGTGAACACAACAATCGGCAGATCCGCAACCTTTGAAACAGGACATGTGAATGTGACACACAGAGAATTGAACGGAAAATCGAATCAACCCCACGGCTACGGTGGTCAACATCACTTTTATCCCAAGTATCAACTGACGGCCGCAAACCCACCTCCGCCCCCACCGCCTCATCAAATTTCTCTGAGCAACTCCTTCCACCTGCAACCAACCACCGCAACAATGAGTGTAGTGCCGGTGAGCAATTGTGTCCGTCGGCCATTGTCGACCGCATTCGAAGCGCCTTGCTTTGTCCCCCATTCCAAACAGAGTGTGATTCGTCCCCAGCTGATGGTGCTGGATGCACTGAATCAGCCGCGATCTCACCTCAGTCCCAATTCGAAACTCCAAACACACAGTCTCAATTCGAATAGGTATCCGACCGGCTTTGTCTTCTCACGGCAGCATGCAGGTACGTGGAAGAAACATATCCCTGTCCTGATCAGATGTTTACGCGCCTATGCATTCCCTCTCAGCAGCTATTCTTGTGCATTTTTTGATCACGCTGCGTTCCGATCTTTCTACGCACCCTGACCCCGCCATGTCCTTATGGATACAAGTGTTTATCTTCACTCCAATCGGGGTGCTGATCGACTGCTCTTTGCCAGTAGGTAGTCAACCCCGATGGCTAAACTTGGACGCTCAATCTCATCAAGTGTTTTCCATCCCTAATATCTGGGACCCATCAGGGGAACTATTTTTCTTTCTAAGCAAAAAAGGGCCTTATCGGAACGAAAGTTGTCGCAGCCTGTATCAGCCAGTCGATGACCAAACACCCAGACCGCGCCGGGCAACTGTGTTGTCCCTTGTGAGCTCATAAGTACTATCTCAGTCTCAGTGAGGGCTAAGCAACAGTCCTACTTTTATGAAGCAGAGTTGTCACGATATGGGGCTCTTGAAACCAGGGTGTCTGTCGGATCGCCGCGTGTAACACCGTTCGACTTATCATCCACCAGTATGCAAGGAATAAAGTCGATCTCCATAGCTTCCCGCAATGGAGTGCTGCCCAGTGTTATTCTACCTTACCCACTAGTGTATCACTCAACGAGCACTACTCACGGTAAGCCCACTAGCTCCATTCGTTGTCCGGAAACTAGTGGGGGCTCACGATGCCTCCCTCGTAGTGTACCACCGTTTGCATCCGGGTTGGCCATGAAATAATGGTAGCCGGGGTAGAGTGAAACCTTGATCGAACAATCTCTTTCTAGTCCTTTTCTAAAACAAAGAGTTCGCTGGCCGTTGAAATACCCCTCGTGCCGATCAGCGACTCGTGAGAATAACTCGCAGTCCCCTTATCTTAAGGAGCACCAGCTAGTTGATACGATGGAGACAGCTGCCGGGAGTTTTGCACTACAACCGCCTGCTGATCCAGTGTTTGGTAAGTTCGTTAAATACTAAAAGTATTGCGCTGGAAACGAGCGAGTTGATGTAGTAATAGCAATGAATTCAATAACTGTATAATAATAATAATAATAACTGTATTAATAAACTCTCGGATAATCCGACACACAAGCCTTAAGGTATGCTCTCTTTAAATTGTGAGTAGTCGTGTCCCAGAAGCACGTGAGCCCGTTGACTTTGGTGCATGTCGCTGTCTATTGCTGCAAACGAACTAAGGCAACCCTATGCAATCAACTTTTGACGCTAATGACGAACAACACCCGGAGTGGTTGACTCGGAACAAATCGTCCGGTTCAGCTGACCATCTCGTGGAGCACATACCTTGTTAATCACTCTACACCGAGTGAATTAATCGGGGGTTCCATACGTCGTTTTTGTAGCTTGTACATTTGCACCGGATCAGGAGGTGTACGAAAAATATTTGGAGCGGTAACTAGTAGACAATGACTCCCATTTGTCTAAACTGCTGGGCACAGGGATTGTGGCAACTTTGTGCCACCCACTGCAAGGGAAACGTGGCTAGGTTCTAGCTTGGCATCCTACTGTACACCCAGGCTTGAACGAATCGAGATTTGTGGCCCTAGTGCAGCACCCTGGACCCAGCAAGTACCCGCAAAGCAGCAGGAAGATTATGAACTAAACCGATCACTCTGATCGCAGCTCACGGCCATCTGCAAATCTCAGCCTCTAACATGGGGTTCGGGAGAACAAGCCTATCAAATCCAAATCCGCTTGAGTCTTCCACTTCTCTTTGACGCGCGCCTTGAACTAAGCGACATAACTGAACAAGTCAACATCGGCTAGATTATATAGATAGATAGAGGCAAACTTGGTAGAACACAATTCCAACTATCTTTGTAGCAAGATTGAGCTGCCATTTTTCCGTACTCAGCCCTGTAGTGTGCCAGAGCGGCATGGCTGCCCTGTTCTAACACCCAAATCGCTGGATCCGACAATTATGATGAAATTGCTAGTCTTTATCAAGCCATAGTTTGCGAAGCGTCAGAAAATCGTTTCCGAATACCCCCCCCTCTATACAGTCGAAACAGCATCTTTTGCATTAGCGTAGATGACAATGTCTTTGTTTTTGTGGCTAGGAAAAAACTCCCGCGTTACAACAGAGTCGAAATGCATTTTTTGATGTATGAGAGAACATCACTAGTTCCTCAAAACCTTCAAATTATACCAACACATTTCTCCTTTGTACTCGATAACAAAGATGGTGACAGCATCCCCATCCTATTCATGTATTCATCAAACTACTCACATTAATTGTCCTTTTCTCAAAAGTGTTTTCATCTCAATATATCCCGCTCGAATTGGGCTTTTTTACATTGCTACGAAGGCTAGAGACTTTCTCCGGCTGTTCAAACTTCGTGGAAGCCTTCTTTGTCAAAACTTGCATGTAGAGCATTACTCCCCGTCATAGACCGTTCATTTACCAGTACTATCTTTCGCTTTGTTTTCAAGAAATAGTGCTTCCAAAGTGACAATCATCTCTCGTTTTCTATCTATCCCCCTCACCTCGTAGCGAAATATGAAGACCGACGCCGTAGCCTCTTTTCTTAGCGCTCTCCAATGATTCGATCGAGCGCTTGCTCCGATGCCCCGGTCAGATTGTGCAGCGCCTTTGTCTACCCACGCGAGCCAAAGCCATCACCTCCTCCCCTCCGTAACAACGGCCCAACCCATTGTCCATGTGTACAGCTTCCAAGGGCCGCTGTTTCATGCAACCACCGTTTTTATCATTACCGCCAACACCACTAACAACCGACCGAGTTAGCCATTGCGCGCTTCTGATTTTATTTCAAACTCAAAAACCTGTTGCATTTTGCTTATCTTTCTACGCGTCTCGGAACTCATATTCATGTCTCGATCTCGTGGCGTTCACTTCATCCAATGAGGACGACTGTCGCTTTTGGAATGCCCACCACACTCGCTAGGCTATCTTAATATCTGTATATGTGGTCATTTTTAGAGTATTCCTTACAAACAATATACACGATGCGCCAGTCTTCACCACATATCATATCAGGCCACCCTCCTGAATGCCGTCAGTTGCATCAATCATGTATCACGTTCTCAAATGTTTATAATCTCATCGTTTCCCCCGTGGATCGCTACCGAATTCCGTCGCCAATGTGAGTCCCCGACGAAGCTCCAGTTTTAGCAAAACTGTACCTCCAGTGGTTTTCATGTTACTGGTTACCTGTTCTCGCTAACATAGACGTGAGACAGTTCAATTTATAGTGTGGAGCGATAGGGGCTCCTCGTGTTCGAATCCGTTGATGGACAGTTTCCCATGGATTAAAAACGCTTTTTAAGAAAGGCCTGGGCACTATCTATGAGACAGTCGATTGCTGTGTCAATAATCAGCGCCTTTTCATGTTTGTCTCAGCGTTTGTGACGAGCTGATCTATCGAACCCCTCGGCAACGGGTGGGTTATACATTGGTGGTTGCCTTTGTCCGAAACCTCACCATATCAACTAAGTTCAACCTCACAATGACCTTCAGGTTGAACGTTTTCACTTACGTGTCAACATCACGAATCGAGTTGGGCAGAATATGACTTATAGTTGCTTTGCATGTGGACACCCGATCGCCTCGTCGCCAGGCACTCGGGCGTTTCCGATTGGATAGCAACAGTCTTCCAACTGCCTGCTAAGGGTTGGTAAGGGCTAGTAAAAATCCCACGAGTCGCAGACGCTAGTTATATTCGGAAAAATAGTTACATGAATTTGGGAACCGAGTGGTCCTTCAACGGGATGGCATTTTGTTTCAGTAGGGCGTCGTCCACTCATGAGTGCACTACCGGAGGCAGTCCAACACCAATTGCATAGGTTCATGCTAACATTAGTTTGCGTACATCCGATACAAAGGCGTCTGAGTTGGCCCCTTCAACTGATAAGACAAGGGGTTGGTCGGCGACGAGTTTGGTGTATGCGGTGCGCAGAGAGTAGGCGAGACTGGAATCCAAATTAACATCGCATAAGACGGATCCACCAATATGCGGATCTGCTGTGCACTGTTTTTTTACGTGTTTTGCGACACTTGAACTACCTGAGCCTCTGAACAAGTTGATGTGCTCACACTCCAAGGCGCTCAAAGAAGCAACGAGCTGAACAAAAGATGGCCTTTTGCGGGGCTCCGCTTCCCAACAGTGTTGCATGATTTTGTAAATCGACTCAGTGGCGAATCGAGGTTTGGGGTTCCTTCGTCCCTCGCGAATCATCCTTGGAACTGCAGCGGGGTCAATGCCTTTAAATGGTGAGTCACCCAGGGAGAACACTTCCCATAAGAGTACGCCAAAGGACCACCTGATTAAAAGTGAATAGAAATGTGAATTACTATGTGAAGACTTTACTCCATGGATTCCGATCTCAACAAACGAAACAGTCGCGTGTGTGTTCACACCAAAAACATACAATCTGTGCATCTAAAGCCACAACGAAATCGAGAACGTTAACGGTGCGCGGGGTGCATTATCTAGATCGCTTACGCCGTACGGCCACTGAGAATATCCGTTTAGAGCTGCAGAACCAGTGACCGGGTTGACTAAAAGCGTGTGCCATATGCTCACGCTCTATGAACAAACATGATGTTCTAGAGACCGATACGACATGAATTTTATGACTAAACCCACAGTAGGGGATCCTACAGTTTGGGACTGATTTGGCGGTTCCATGCCGATCTGGCGAAAATGCCAACTTTTAATCGAATGGCTTATCGATTGTTCTAAATATCGGACAAAGCAACATGCACGTTGTTGAGGGGACATGGGTCATAAAAACGCTTTACTGGCAATTCAGACAAGGAATTTTACGTCAACTTGTGTTTGCTTCTTAACACTAGTAATTAATTCGGATTGCAATTGTTCAGAGGAATGTGTGACACTTATGGCAGATCAGATCTACTATCTTGTTGTTGGAACTCCTCGCTAACATGAATTTGTGTAAGTTGGGCCAGTTGCATTGGTTTCCATTCGGGTCTATGATGCATACTCGAATACGTTCCGATCAATCACTGAATGACTTTGAAAAAAGAAATGCGGGCCTCTGTCACGCGTCATCAGAGTATCAAACTGGATACCTGTCCAGTGGGCGCTATGTCATTTGGATTGGAAGGACTCTGCAATGCGAGCACAAGATATTAGCGAAATAAGGGTACACTCTATGCTCATTCCTCGTCGGTACTAAGGTGTTGGGATGAAACCGGCTGAGTCGAGTGTTCTCCAACTCGACTCTAACAACCAGCGAACGAATCAATCGGAGAAAAGTTACAGCAAAAATTTGCTTCAGGACAGAAATACACACATAGGAACTCACACGTCAGATCGTACAGTATATACGCGGTCGAATATGCACTCCGGAGCAAGCCATTTGATAGGTAGTCTGCCCTGTAAGAAACAAAATGCAATATGCGTCAGATATCCTTGTTGTACACGAATACAGCGCACCACCCACCAGCAAGCTTATGTTCATATCTTTGCCAGTCAGTTGGTTAGCTCCGTCTCTCTTTGGACGAAACCACCCGAGAGTATAGGCTTTTGATACTTGTCCGATTCTCCAGTGTCGTGCTACGTTCGGATTTCGCGAGTGTCCGATTCAAACACTGCAGTCTAGCTATTTCTATCTCACCAGCATGGTGAATGGTTCGCATTTGCATTAGTTGATTCGCCGTTGGTATATTTCCTTGAGCACACCTCTACCACTTGTACCCGTCCTTGCCCTGGAATGGCGAAACTAGTGCTTCCTTGATAACTTCACCTACCCACTCATCTAGATTACGGTTGTTGTTCCTGCCCCTTACAACGGTCGCGGTTGCGAAAAGCTCGGTCGGCGTCTGGTGGACTGAGGCAATTATCGCAAGGGCTTCCATTCACTTACTGGTAAATGGATGGGTTTGTGCAACATAGTGGAGCTTGGTTACTCCTCAATGTTCCCATGGGGTAGGTAGCATAGCATCGCGCTGACGATCGTTAGACGATATAGCCTGCACGGAATAACGATCAATACATGCAAACTCTCGTCGGCTGAACTACCCTAGATTCTCATGCGCATCTACACAGCATATGGTCGGCCCGTAGACTAGAGGTAGCGACCTTGTCTCGTAATCTTGTGGCGCTGGTTCGAATCCGCGTAGGGGTGAGTGTCCTCGCGGTATACTCAGCCCGCGTGCGACTGGTGGTGGTCGCACGGCAGCGAAGCGCCGTTACGGCGTACAGCTGACACATTATTACTTTTTTATTTATTATTACGACATCATGACGCGTCTGTAGTTGCTTCATACCGCGGGAAAAATACAATGGAGTCAACTCATGAGGTCAGGATACGTTCTATATCCGTTGGGTCCGGCTGAATACAGGGTATCCTCACAAACGGTAGCTGAAATCAGTGGTGTGTGTATTGTCGATCGTACATTTCCGACTACTTGGTGTGTTGGATGGCTCCACTCATATTTAATCAGTCCTGATAGTCTGGATCCACACGGTGCATCGCGACCGGATTTGAAGATACAGAATGTGTGATGTTAATTCCGCTAGGTCTGTTCTGCCATTTCATCAGCGAACCCACTTCCGCTAGCATCAGTGACTAACGACAGAGCTGCTGTTAAGTGATTGCTTGCTAAATTTTTGCGACTAGTGTCGCCAACATGAGTCCTTGGGCGACTGTACTCGCCTGAAAATCGGTACAGTCCCCTGTGAGAAAATCCACAACTAAGCTTAACAAAGATTTATCGTAATGATCGCATTCTACAGAGTCCTCCGCATCGCACAATTGAAACGTTTCGAGTGTGGCGAGCCAAACAGGATAACAAACTGGTGCACTATCAACGCCCTCCTTGCCGCCTAAAATGGTACCAAACTGCTAGTGAGGTGGGAGAATCTGCCTAACGTTGCGAGCAATCTTATGGGTCTCGTTCATCAAGATTAGTGCACTTATTCGGGTGGCTCACCGTTCGATTCAGTCATGAGCTTAACTGGGTCGCAATACAATGAACAATGATTTATTGCACTGAGTTCTTATCGTAAGAGCGACAGGCGCGGTTGTTTGGAAGCATGCATTACGATCATCATTTGTGTCGTGCCTCTTTTTGCTGTCTACACATGAATGTTTTTCCGAAAAAGCTCATTCTATACGCGAAGCCCTACACCATTCAATCCACCCAATTATACAAGTCAGGCAACAACACATGGGGCCTCCAGAGATATCCCTGTCTCGAAAATGTCTACTTTATCTCCCCTGAGGTTTTCATGTTGGTTACCTTAGCACTTACTAGGGATGTTGAATGAATGAGTGGATATTTTGTGGACAGAATTAAGAGCTTCACTTAGCAGCTTACAAACAACCGACAACAAGATCTCACATGGATTTCGGTTACATCCTACAGTAATTGGGATCTAGAGTCAAACGCGAATTACCCGTCTGGCCCTTACACGTAGTCAAAACGGATGGCAGTTACTGCCGGGGCATTTGCTTCACGTGCGAACGAAGACATGGCCAATGAATCTGTTGAAGCCACGACAAACTGGAAGAGAAATTTGATGAAAAGCCTCTTGGTTTACAATATTCTGAGGCGGGCAATTAGCGGTATCCTGTGTGCCCTGAACCTCGCGATAAGAATGGAAGATGGTGGTAATGAAACAGGCGCTCAACTCACGTTTGTCAATTTTCTGTAATAGTCATCAGCTGCTCTGGTTAGGCCAAAATCGGCAATCTTCAGAACGTAGTCTTCACCAACGAGAATGTTACGAGCAGCAAGGTCCCGGTGAATGATCTGAAATGAGGATAAGAATGGGACATTGAATACTGACAAGCCACGTTTGGCAAAACATTCGACTTGTGAGACCGATGGTGTTTAATGCGCCGGTAATTCCAAAAGTATGCGCAGCCAAAGCAATGGGCGAAAAACCGTACAGTCAGCACAGCCTATTGAACCACAAAACTCTCCACCGAACAGTTTCGTCAGGAATGTGATTTCGCCGCTGATGTCCAACACTACCGAGGGTGCACCAGTGTGTTTGGAAAAGCTCTTCGCATACAAAACAGCTTAGATGGAGCTTACATGCGCATGATTTGAACGACAAAGTAATGAGTCTTCACGGTGCCCGACAGGGTCGCCCTGTGCCTAACTTATGGCATAGCAACAACATCGCTCCCTAGGTAGTTAGTAGTAGGGGATTTATATTGCTTTGGTGAAGATTCGTCGCAGGTAGACAGCTACCACACATCAAGGAAAGCGTTTTCCTGTGTGTGTAGTGGCTGTCCACCTGAGTCTAACTGTGACGAATCCTCAGCAAAACATCGCTCCCTATAAGGGTCGTTCTATCCACTGCAACCAGCGTTACCTGTGAACATAACGTGGAAAGCGTTTCTCGCCATATGGTACCATTATTGAAAATTCCATATTCGTGATGATGCACTGGTCTGCTCCGCCTCGATCGCCAATTCGAATAGATGTACTTCCGAGCTAACCTCTTGAACCCCTCGACCCACTGGTCAGATGGGTACAACCGAATACAAGCACATCAACACTCGCACTGCTTGGGTTTAGTTAGAGCAATTGGGAGAGCGACGCACGAGATACCAGATGTTGGAATACAAATTGTGAGTCTCGCAGCTGTCTACGGTTACCGATGGGTGGAATACCATCGAGCCGTCGTGTGACAGCGAACAAGACTGGATCAGAATTAGGATCGCTCCAACGACCATGAGCCACCGGAAAGTAGAATGAAATCTGATAAGAAAGCGGTAATTCAAATAGCTTTTAAGTTTGTAGCTGCAAACTTTCACTTCTGTCGCGCCATTTGTCTTAAGGCGGAATTTTAGTATTCTGATTGGTGGCTAAGAGTCATTATTTCTGGAGGCGGATCATAGTTTTCTCCTGATGTGATCCCTTCCATTTTGTTAGCTGCGCCTGATTGGCACTTAACTTAATCGCTCCTTACTGTCTTGGTCATCTACTGCACTCCGGTTAACTTTGACGGCCGTGTGTACTACAGCCGTGGATCCCAGTCAACAGTCGGATGTGCGCCGTTAGATTATCTGGTGCGTTCCATGCTTCGAAGTCGTACGTAGACAGACGGTGCTGGAGAGGCTGTGTCCAAAACTGTCGCTCGATTTGGAGCACGAGCGTGGACTCTGACCACGCACTTGTCTGTGCCGATCTCCTGGTGCGTTTCGGTGGACGTCCGCAACGTCGATATGAACGGATTGACACCAGCAAGCTGGCGAAGCCAGATGTTCTGAATGTGTACCAAAGTGCGCTGACATCTGGGCTGAGTAAGCGCCTGCTGAACGCCATCGAAGATCACAGATCGCATATTCGTCAAACGTTACTGTTAGCAGGCATGTCTTCATGTGGCAAAGCAAATTGCCAAACCGGGAATTGGGTCTCTACACAGTCTCTGGAACTTATGGATGCTCGCCGACGTATTCCGGCTGGAAACGAATACAATGAGGCTCGCAAAAATCTCAGAGCAAAATTAGGTGCTAGTCTTAGGAAGGATCGCGAAACCTGGTGGTCTCATCGTGCCTCTGAGATGGAAACAGCCGCTGCCGTTGGTAATCATCGTAAGTTATTCCGTCTGATACGGGAAACAGGCAGAAGGAGACCTGGTGTTAGCGAGACCATACGCGACGAGAGTGGGCAGCTGATCCACAGCCTGTCAAAACGCTTGGAGCGTTGGGCTGAACACTTTGCTAGGCAATTTAACCAACCTGAGTTATCGCTTTCTTCTTCGGGCATTGAGCGCCCTTCTCCCTGGGCCGTCTTCTTGAATCCGTCCTCACGCGCAGAAGTCGAACGTGAGATCAGGCTGTTGTAATTGCATAAGGCCGCAGGGGCAGATAAAATTCCCCCAGCCCTCTCCAAATTCGGGGGACCTGCTTTAGTATATCATTTACACGAGTTGCTAGTAAAACTGGGAGCAGGAGACAGTCACGACAGACTGGAACTGCTCCGTCATTGTCCTAATTTTCAAGGGAAACTCCCGTTTGGAATGCGGCAATCATAGAGTGATCAGTCTGATTTCGATTGCCTCTAAATTGCTTGACTCTGTCATTCTCCACAGACTGACTGGCACTCGTGAAAGCCAGATCCGTGGAGAGCAAGCCGGGTTTCGTCGAGGTCGGGGCTGCATCGACCACATCTTCACCTTGCGTCAATTGTTGTGGCACCGTTATGTTTATTGCCGACCCACCGTTGTCGTGTTTCTTGATATAAAAGGTGCCTTCGATTCAGCCGATCGGTGTGCCCTTTGGGACTGTCTGCTGGGGAAAGGTGTACCCGATAAATACGTAAACCTTATCCAAACGCTGTACGCGCATAGTTTGAGCTGAATAAGGGTTTATGGCAAACTGTGGCCGCCGTATCACCGGTGGTGTGAGACAAGGATGCCTGCTGTCACCTTTCTCTTTATCTTCGCAACTGCCGAAGTCATAGAAACAGCATTCACTGGGCATGACCTAGAAGGTGTGGAGCGACTTCTTGACTTGGAGTATGCGGACGATATTGCCCTAATCTGTGACAGCTCCCAAACGTGCCAAACAACACTGGACCAATTAGCACTGGCTGTCAATCGTTTTGGGCTATGCTTTGCTCCATTGAAATGCAAACTCCTTCCTCAAAGTTGGCAGAAACCCACCCCTGCGCTGACCCTTGGTGGTGATCAGCTAGAAGTCGTTCAGGAACTCAAATATCTGGGAGCTATATTAGCACCCGTGGAATCGAAGACGAGATTACGAACTGTATAGCACAAGCTTGAGGTGCTTTTGCCAATCTCCGCCACCTGTGACACTGACGCGACATTACTCTCGCCTTGAAGGTCAGTTTTTAATGCAACCGTCCTTTCAATCCTCTTGTACGGTTGTGAAGCCTGACCCATCAGGTCGAGATACATAAAGGGGCTCGTCACGTTCGGTCAGCGCTGCCTTCGCAGCTTAGCTTATGTCTGGTGGGAGCACCGCGTGAGCAATGAATGTGCTCGGCGTCGTGTATTTGGTATAGGAATTGCGGGTGAACCGCTCAGCACCGTTATATCACGCACCAGGCTCCGATGGTTGGGCCACGTGTTGCGCACACCAGCCCACCGACTTTCACGTCGTGCGTTGTTTACTCGCCCAGGGTCTGGATGGAAGAGAAGGTAGGGAGGGAGTCCAAGCGATGAATTGGTCAAGGGAATGAAAATCCTCGATTCGAAGTTGGCGTCGGTTGATGTGTGTCGACTGCCTGGGTGGAGTCCGAAGGACAATGAACACGTTTGGTTAGACACACTTGTTGATATGGTTAGGAGCCGGCCCCAATGGCGTTTGTGTTGTGCGTTTCATTGTCCATCCCCTCCCCTTTAGATTCCCCCCCCCCCAATCCCGATCTCATACAAAACGCATAATATAATTATTTAGCATCATATCACTTGAAATCGTTTTTCGCAGTGTAAATTTTTAGTATCATCTTTTTTGTATTGCGGCACATTAGCTGAGGTGCGTTTCTCGCCCTCAGCTAACGTATATTGATGATGTTGATGTACTGCAGCCGCTCACGTCCACACTGTGTAACTAGCGCAGTTTTCCGAGGAAAAGAATACCGTGTTTCCTCCTTCTTTTGTTTTCGCTAGTGGAGTGAGTGGATACATTTCACGTGCTCACGTAATAAGATCGCTTCCTGTTAGACGGCTCAACGCCTAAATAGGTAGGACGTCCATACTCGGGACTCGCGTTCACAAGATTGAACAGTGCTGATAACGCGTTCTGAAAGAATTTGATGCAGATTTAGCCATTGTGCATATACGTGAAGTGCTATATTTCATGGGATCGCGGTTGCTGTCGGCCCAGTGTCTCCTCAGAACACACCAAGTTAACGCGACCATCTCTGAACTCAATAAATCGTAAATGAGTGCTCAGATTACCCCACCTTTGTGTTCCTGCAGTTTTTAAGCCCACCCGAAATCTAAGGTGATAACGGAGATTGGGGTACTTGAGACATCACCGACACACGGTGTCAACAGGAAACTGATCGGCTCGTTTAGCCATCGAATGAAACCTAACTACTAGTATGGACAAACGCGCCACTGCAAAACTCCCATGGAAGTCCAGCTCTAACGACTAGCAGGTTCTCACATCATTTCATGTGAAGGTTGGCACATGTTAGGTTCACTTTTGTGAAATACGGAGCCACCTGGTTGGTCACGCATTATTCATGCGCAATGTGGAAACAATGGATCCTGTTAGGAATCTGCGGTGAGTATTGCAGAAGTCGTTTAGAGAAAGAGCGTGGGGTCTGATGCTAGTCAGTCTCAACAGCGAAGCGAAGTTCTAAGTAGAAATGCGCAGACGAGCTCCTACTGCTTCTTTGTGTTACTACATGTCGAATTAATGTTGAGTAATGAACTAACCAGTTGTTGCGGATCAATCCCTTATCGGCGTTCCGGATCTTGTTATGTCATACTAATGCACGCCTTTTACGATTTGCCGAGACCGTCGCGATAAACCGAATTAGACCAGCTTTGTGTGTCCAAAAGCAATTAGATGTCAACCTGCGGTTGCCGTGGACCTAATCCCAACAACAATGACCACAACCATAAATTTAATTGGCTTGACTGTGCCCTGTAAGACATATAAAAGGATTTCCCTGTTATTGTATTGGTACTGACGATATAATACGAAATGCTAGCATCTGCCAATATTCGTCTTCTCATTTCGTTGTTCAAACTACTGAAGGGAACTAACTGTTTTAAATTCGGGAGTAATTGTTTTCTCGATAAGCATGGGACCAGAGTG